GGGGGGGTTGTTGTTGGCTTGATGAATGCAGCATGCTAACATCGCGGTCCGTGATCGATAGCCCGTCCATGCCGACACAATGGGCGCGGTGCACGTTAACGAGGACGGACTCGATGGGGTAGACGACGGAGGATGGGGGCGTTTGGGTACCGCTCCTCCCCGACGACGTACGGGACCGCGGAGAACAACCACCGGCGACGCGGTATGGTTGGTTCGAAAGCTCATCTTGAAACTTCTTTTTCCCTTTCCTTGAGAACAGAGAAAATCCAGATCCCTGCTCTCTGGGCTGTGCGGCGGCGTTTGCCCGGGGAAATAATAATCTGTTCGTTAAAACTTGCTTAACGCACGAGTAATGGGAGAAGTGATAGTAGGGGCCGAGGCCGAGTTAAGTTTGGACAAAAACGCCAAGAACGAGCGGGGCCATAAATTCACGTACCGTTTTAAGGATATAGCGGGTCGGCAGGACGGCCTGGGCCGGGGCAGGGGGGGATTGAGGGGGGGGGGAGATCAATGGGGCGGCAGGACGTCATGCGCATAATTGATGGCGGGTGCTCATGTCGACCGAAATTATACGTCGCGTTTGCCGAGCGGCGCACACCACACAGGCAATATCAACACGATGGCTCAGCTCCGCTCGGCTCTCGTGCTTCGTGCAGGCCAGACAGGCCTGCGGTCTCGCCGCCGGGAGCCGGGGGGACTCGCCCCGCCGCACCCCCGCGCCGGATCTGGTCCATGGCAGAATGTGATGTGCTGAGCGGCCTTGTCAGCCCCGGACCCGCTCCGCTCCGACCATGGGTAGCCCCATGGCCATGGCCATCTAATCAATCGTGCCCAGCTTTGATTGATGTCACTTTTAGACGTCGTGTGTGGCATTATGTGTCATGTGTGCAGGGAGCATGCATGATATGAAACTCACCCTCCGTCCTGAGGCTGCGGATCTGCGTCTCGAGGGGCCGGAGCGCGTTGAGCGGGAGGTTCTCCAGGTAGTTTTGGCTGAGGTCCAGCGTCCTCAGCTTCTTGAGTGGCTTGAACGCGTCGCTGGCGACCGACGCGATCCTGTTGCCCGCCATGTGCAGCTCTTCGAGCGCGTCGAGGTGGCGGAAGGTCTTCTTGGTGACCCGCGTCACCTCGTTGTGCGACAGGTCAAGGATCTGCAGCGACTGCAGGTCGGCGGGGAACTCGTCCGGGTCCTTGAGGTGGTTGTGCGTCAGGTTGAGGACGCGCAGGAAGCGCAGGCCCTGGAGTCGCTCCTGCGGCAGCATCTCGAGAACATTGTGGCTCAGGTCCAGGGTGAGGAGCTTGGACACGGAGCGGAACGCGCCGGGCGACACACGCGCCACGTGGTTCCGGCCAAGGAACAGGTGCAGGAGCGCAGGGAACTCGTCAAAGTCCGTGCTCGTGATGATGGTGAGGTTGGTGGCGCTGATGTGCACCTCCTGCAGCGCGGGGAACCGGCCGGGCGCCGCCGACGTGGTGGGGTCGTGGATGGTGGTGAGCGGGTTGGCCGTCAGGTTGAGCCACTGCAGCGCGGGCAGGTTGCGCTCCGACACGGCATCGCCGGGCAGGTGCAGGAAGCGGTTGCCCGACAGGTCGAGCTGTCGCAGCGACCCGGCCGCGTGCAGGAAGTGCACCGGCACGGCCGACAGCTGGTTGCCGCTCAGGTCCAGCAGCTGCAGCCGCGTCTGCTCGGCGGCGAACGCGCCGTCCAGGGCCGCGATGGCGTTGTCCTTGAGCACGAGGTCGCGCAGGCTGTGTAGCCCCGCGAGCCGCCCCGCGTCCAGCGCCGTCAGCCGGTTGCCGGACATGTCGAGCAACTCCAAGCTGGTCATGTTGGCGAGCGCCGCGTACGGCACACTGGTGAAGCGGTTGCCGCGGAGCCGAAGTTCGCGGAGGTTGTCCACCGCGTCGAACAGGTCAACGTCGAGGGTAGACAGCGCGTTGCCGGACAGGTCGAGCCTCCGCAGACGGCGGTTCTCCGCCAGGAAGCCCCGCGGCAGGGCCGTCACGTTGCAGCGGTCCATCCACAACTGCTCCAGGCTGGGCAGGCCGTGCGTCGCATTGGCCGGGAAGCCGCTCAGGTCGTTGCCCGACGCGCGCAGCACGATGAGGGTGGGCACGTGCAGGTCCAGGAGCGCGCGCGCATCTAGTCGGTTGTCCTCGAGGTTGAGCTCGTGGAGGCTCGTGAGCCCCGCAAACGTGCCGCCTTCGAGCCGGCGCACCGAGCAGTTGCGCAGGTTGAGGTACTCGAGGGGCAGCCCGACCGCGAACACGCCCTCCGCCAGGGCGGGCAGCACGTTGTCGGACAGGTCCAGCGCCTTGAGCTTCTGCAGCGAGGCGAAGGAGCCCGACTCGATGGCGCGCAGCCCGTTGCCGGCCAGGTTGAGCTCCTCGAGCTCGCGCAGCTCAGCGAAGGTGCGCGTCGACACGTTGGCCAGGCGGTTGATGCTCAGGTCCAGGAAGCGGAGCGCGCGCATGGGCTGGAAGGCGCCGTCCTCGATGGCCGAGATGCTGTTGTTGGTGAGGTACACGCGCTGGATCTGCGACAGGTCGCGGAAGAGCGCGCGGCCCACGCGCGTCAGCCGGTTGTGCCCGAGCCACATGATCTGCACGCTCGACTGGCCGCGCAGCGACTCGTTGTGCAGCCCGGCCAGGCTGTTGGCCTCCAGCTGGATGGAGACGAGCGAGTGCGAGTCGTGCAGAAACACGTCGCCCAGCGAGGCCAGGTTGTTGCCCTGCAGGTTCACGTGCTGCAGGCTCTGCAGCGAGCGGAAGGCGCCCGGCGCCACCGAGGCCAGCGCGTTGTTCTGCAGGTGGAGCTCGAGCAGGTGCGGCAGTGGCTCGAACACGCCCAGCTGGATCTCGGTCAGCTTGTTGTTCTGCAGGCGGAGCTCGCGCAGCGCGTGCGCGCGCGTGAAGGTGCCGGGCTCGAGCCTCGCGATCCGGTTGTCGTCGAGGCTGAGGGACGTGAGCTTCTCGCTGCGAGCCAGCGCATCGCGCGGCACCGCCGTCAGGTAGTTCTTGCTGAGGTGCAGCTGCGACAGGTTGGGCAGCGTGGCCAGCGCTTGCGCGTCCAGCCGACGGATGGCATTCTGCTGCAGGTACACGACCGTGAGCATGTACGAGTCGGTGAAGGCGTTGCCGGGCACCTCCAGGATGTTGTTCTCCGACAGGAACAGCTCGCGCAGCTCGGGAAGCTGCTCGAACACGCCGCCGATGTGGTGCACGTGGTTGTGGCTCAGGTCGACGGAGCGCAGGCGCTTGTTGGCGCGGAAGGTCTCGGCGTGCAGCAGGACGATCTTGTTGTGGCTCAAGTCGATCGACTCGAGGTCGCGCAGCGAGCGGAACGCGTCGCGGTGCACCGAGCCGATGGCGTTGTAGTACAGCGTGAGGGTCTTGAGCGCGGGCATGGGCCGAAACGCGTCGCTCGGCAAGTCTTCGAAGCTGTTGGAGCTCAGGTCGACGAACAGCAGCGCGCGAAGCTCCGAGTGTCCGTCGTCCGGGATGGAGGCCACCTCGTTCCAAGCCAGACGCAGGCTTTGCAGCCGCACCATCTGGCGCAAGGCCATCATCGGAAAGGTGCGTAACTTGTTCTCCGCCAGATCAAGATCGGTGAGCGAGTCCTCGAGGCCCGCGAACGAGTACTCAGAAGTGCGGTTCAGCATGTTGCCCTTGAGGTTGAGCTTGGTGAGCTGCAGGCCGTGGAAGCAGTACGACGGCAGGTCGCCGATCTGGTTGGACTCAAAGTCCAGGTGGCGCAGCTCGGTGAGGCCGGCCAGGGACTTCCGCGGCACCTGCTGGAGTCGGCCCGCCGCCACGCTGAGCGAGGCCAGGTGCGGCCGCAGCCCGGCGAAGGCGTCCTCGCTCAGCGTCTCCAGGTTCGAGTTGGAGATCTGCAGGTTGTGCACCACGGCCCCCGGGGGGAAGAGGTCCGCGGTGAGCGCCGTCACGCCGACGTCCAGCTCGTACACGCTCAGCGACTTGACGGGCTCCGAGACGAGCTGCAGGACGGCGCGCAGCGACGCCAGCGAGGCGCCCTGGCACTCGAGGAAGAGCGCGCCCTCGAACGAGTAGCACGGGCATAGCTGGTTCTCGGCGAGGGACGGGCAGTCGGCGAGGCCGGGCGCCGGCGCCACCAGCAGCAGCAGGAGCAGCGGCAGGTAGGGGAGCAGCATCACCACGGGCCCCATGGCACCGCGCGCGCCAACGGCACCGCCATGCTGGGGGTGTCAGCCCGCCGCACCTGCAACACACACACAAACACACACAGCATGAGGAACTGCGAACTTATCGCCTCACAATCAGAGCAGTAGTACAGCAGCCTGCCGCCGACCAACGAGGTTAACGGGGGCCCTAGATAAAACGCAGTGTGTGGAGGGCGGGCTAGCCACGCCCCCTCCCCTCTTTTCTGGTACGACCGCCGCCTTGCAGTCCATCACGTCGTCCCCACCGCACACGGGCGGCCCCCGGGCCGAGCGGCGGGCGGCCAAGACGGAGTGCGCCGCCATCCCTCACCCCGAACGGTGACACGCCAGGAGATTCGCGCGCGACCAAACCAATTTCTGTTAGCACGGGGCGTGGGTGGCCCGCCCTGCGCCCTCTGCCCTGCTGCTCCGCCGTGACCCGGCCGGGCAGGCAGGTGCGAGTACACGGCATGCTAAAAGCCGCTCAAATTCTACTTAACTCTTTCTGTCTCGCAGTGCTACTGCGCGCGCTTCGCTGCTGGCGCCGCAGCGGCGCAGCCAGCAGCCGGCCTTTTGCAGAGAGAAGTGGTGGAGATGGAGACTTTCAGAAGAATCTCTCTCCTCGTGCGCGCACAAGCGAGCGGCTCGGGCCAAGTCGCTCCGCTAACGAGGTCGTGCGCACTCAGCCAGAGTCAACTCGGAGACGTATTTCATTTCCACCGTCACGGCACGGCACGGCCCCCGACGTCGTCGTCGTGTCCGGCACGGAGAGGATCTGTCTCGCGCGGGTGGGGCCTTGCCTCCCGCGCCCGCCCCTCACCACCAGGACCCCGCTCTTGCCTGCACTACTTCCGAAATGCGAAATTATGATTGTACCGCCCGCCTTTTAACCCAGCCCGCCGTCGCCCATGATGTTTTGCCGACAAAGTGGTGTAATGTAAACACCCCCGCTCTTCTTCAACCCCCCTCTCCTCCTTTTCCCTCCTCGCCCCTCCCCGATGTTTTTCTTTCGCCGGGGAAAGGAGTGTGTCTGCGAGCGGCTAATTAAAAGCTCTCACCGACTTAGTTTTGGTTGGGTTGGCAGCGCCGGGACGCCAGGGCGGGGGCGGGTCGAGGCCCGTTCGGCGCGTTTTCTATTAAGTAATTCAGGAGTGCAGGACGGCGTGGAGCGAGGCGTGGCGTGGCGCGGCCTCTCGGAGCCATGCCAGAGGGAAGAGTTAGCAGAGTTAAAGCCAAGTCATCAGGCTTGTCATCCGATTACCGACAACGCCGTGGAAAGAGAAGGAGCAGAAACAGGACGGCCAAGAAAACCGAGCGGAGGAGCGCGCGCACTCACAAGATGTCGGCGCGCTCCTCTCGCAAACAGTCGACGTGAACCTCGCGGACTTAGCGTCGGACGTCATGAAATAATCACCAAAAACATCAGCAGGCAGGGCTCTCCCGCACTACGACTCTTGCGCTACGGCGTTGGTCCAAACGCTAACCGCGTGATGCAAACTTAAAAACATCCAATCTTTTTTTCTTTCACCGTCTTTACTTTCCTCCCTTTGCCCTTGTCCTCCTACGTGCGCGGGACGGAACAGAGAACAAAAAAAAGAAAAGCTCAGCGCGAAGAGTAGGAAAGGTTTTCTTTAATGTCATTGCCGCTGCAGATCACGTCGTCTTTACTCCTCGAGGACACGAGGACCACCCGCTTTTCCTCCTCTAGGTCCTTCTTCCTGATTGCCCCGCTGCCGGCCCGGGCCTTGGCTTGACGCCGTTCGCATTTTGCCGATGAGTCGAACCCCGGGGGGATCGGCCCGCCAAGGCGGCAGCGCAAGAAATACATTTTTCACAAACGCCGCGACGCCCTTTCACGTCTCAAGGGAGGCGGGCTGCCCTACTTTTATCAAACGCTCACTTCCCGAGCCGATCGGTTTGTTTTAAGCCAAAAGAGAGGCTGACCACAAAATCGCAGTTTTTTTCTTTTTCAAAATTTCTTGACTTTCCTGCAACGACTTTTTGAGACATACGTTTTCTTTGCTAACTTTTCGCCGTTTTTCGCGACCTCACAACAAACCACTAAAGCAAACGGAAATGTAAGAGCAGGTACCTGGTCATTTCCCCCGCGGCCATCGTTCAATTTTCCCGCCCACCCGCGCGCGCACGACGGGCAGCACGACGACGACGTGTCCATGGGAATGGTGGCAAACGTCGTCCCCGGGAGCGACCGTGCACGTCCGACCCAGTGCGATTGGGGTGGAGGTGGTGGCGGCGGCGGTGCGGCGGTGCGGCGGGGGCGGGGCGAGCTCCGTTTGCCGAGTAGCAAACGAGACCAGCATGCTTGCCCCTGCTCCTCGACCCCCTCGCCCTCCTTTATGCCCGCCGCTCTGGCTTTTCTGAGCCTCGTTTAGGCCCTGCAGCGGCAGCAACAGCAGGAGAAGCACACAAGGCGTACCGCACACGGGCGCACCGCCGCGCAGGCGACTGCCAGACCGCAAGGCCACTACTACCCGGGCCTTTGAGAGGCGCACCAGGGCGCACCAGTGTACACCACGCAGCACAACATGACCGAGCACTGGCTCGACCTGATGCTGCTTAGGACGACCGGGCGCGTCCGTCTGTCTCTCCCTCTCTCTCTCTCTCACTGGATTTCCTCCCACGCCCGGCCGATGCCGCTTTGCTCTCGCCTTCAAATGAATACGGCTGAGCAGCACACCATTTAATTCCACTCCGGCAGATAAACGAATGGCCCTGGCCGTGGAGCTCGGGCGCGGCGTCCGGGGAAGCCAGGCGTTATCGCTCATGCAGTGCGAACAGCAGCAGGGCTGTGGTGGGGTGGGGTGGGGCGAGGCGGGATGGGGCGCGGCGGCGACCGGCTGTATTCAATGCGGAACTTGTGTTCCCCAAGCCGGCCCCGGCATGAGCTCACCCCATTTTATACTACGGAATTAAATTTCGTGTAATATTTCTCCGGGTTGTTTCTAGCCACCGCCGCCACCACGCCACCACTGCCGGCTCCGGAGGGCTGCGAGTGAGATAACTGGCTCTGACAAGGGGGTGAGTAGCAATCAGCTGGAGGCGCTTGCCTGCCCGCCATAACTGCCTGTCTGCAGGGTGTCCCGGCGGAGTATTGGCGGCTGCGCTATGCTCCTCACACAAAGGCAAAGGCAACCAGCGATACTTGCAATCCGTTTACACCCTTCCCCGCCACACCTCCCGCCCGTCTTGGCGCCAGCTACCAACCTTGTCCCTCATGCATCACAAAGTTACCTGTGTGGTTGGCGGGCGAGGTACCGGCACCCAGCACCGTGTGAGAGATTGGGGGGGGGGGGGAGAATCAATCTTATACGTGGAGCTCGTTGAAATTGAAGAGCGGTAAGCCAGCAAGCCCCAGCAAGTAAGTGAACTCCTGGCGGCTCGACGGCGATTAGCCAATGAGAATAGCTATAGCCCTCTCTTTCACTTTCTCCGAATCCGAATATTTAACTCCCCACCAGCTTCATCGCGACCGTTATTGAGTTTCATCGCCGTTCGCCATGAGCAACGCGCAGAAAACTTGTGCCTTTTTCACGTCAGTGAGCCGCAGTGAGCCGCAGTGAGACGAGCAGTCGCGCTGCGCCTTACAGAGGAGGAGGCTGAAACATTTTAGTCTCAGGAAACTTCGACTACGTATTTGGAACGATGGCTAAAAGTGACTTCAACTTAGTATGTGGATAAATAGATTAATTTTAAAGAGAACATTAAACTATCACACAGCACTATTCTACCAAGAGAGGGCGAGGGAAGACGTGACACATACTACGGTTCTGGGTAGAGCGGTTTACAAGACGACATTACTGAACCATACTGCTATTTTGTATTCATTACAAATACAAGAGCACACGAAAGCAGATAACAGCGTACCGTGACCGAGCGGAAGAGAAAGAGAGGAAGTGGGACGGCGCGGGGGCTGTCTGCTTATGCCGTTTGTAAGAGAGGGGCGAAGGAAAGACTTCTGGTGCAGCTGGGAAATCCCAGAAGGAGCCCAACGTTCTCTCTCTCTCTCTCCTGGCAGGGCCCTTCCCCAAAGTCCCGTGGCGGCTGCTGCTAAAGAATAATGCTGCCTCGCGAAATTAATTAAAAGCGTCGTGATGATGTATGAGACAGCGCGCCGCCTTGGCGGGGTGGATCGCTCGGCCGCTTCAACAACAACCACAACAACAACAAACGCACC